TACCTTCAGAATAACCATCCTCTCCATCTTCATTCAGCCTCTCCCTGTCCACTGGTTCTTGGTCATTACCTTACCTACAGACACACACTCAAGCCCATTCTTTATTAAAACAGCTCTTACCTGATCCAATTTTCCGTACCAGCTGATAGACTCTAAGTGTCCTAACATCCTTACCTCTCATTTACTCATCAGCTTACTAGAGTCTGGTTTCTACTATAACGTGACACTCCCAACGGTGGCCAACAACTTCCTAATTGCCAGATCAAATGGATTCATCTTTACCAAGTCATTTCTATGTCTAAACTGAACTTAGTAGCCTTTCCCCAGGCCTCTTGTATTCCCTGCCTCTGTGAATGATCTTAATCATTTGCTCAAGTCAGAAGTCTGAAGTCATTCCTGACTCCTTCTCCTCCAAGGTTCTAATTAATTACTCAGTTCTTTCAAGTCCACCCCTAAACATCTTTTCAATCTATCCCCCACCATTGCTTTAGTCCAAGGTGCCCTCACCTCTCATCTGACTTAGTGCCAGGCCACTCTACCTCCAATCTTACTTGTTCCTGCTCTCATGAGAGAGAGGAGAGAGAGAGAGAGAGAGAGAGAGAGAGAGAGAGAGAGAGAGAGAAGAGAGAGAGAGAGAGAGAGAGATGTTTAGGGTCAGAGTGATCATTTCATTCTCCTCCAAAGATTCTTTTCCACTGTCCATAACTCAATGTCCAGACATTTTTAATGACTGGCCTTCGACCAGCTCTCAGTTTTCTCTTTTCCCATCACACTGCTGGAACCCACACTTCCAGTTATTCTGAGCTGCTTCCATTCCCTTTACCATACCGTGCTCTTTCTCACCTCTCCACTTTTGAAAGCACTGGTTTCTTCATCTACCCAACCCCAAGATCTTTCTCAGGCACCAGCTTACCAACGCCCTCCTTCAGGTCACCTGTGTGGCTGGAGGTGCTTGCCATGTGCTCACCTGTCACCCTGCACTTCCCCTCTCCTGGACTCATCACACACATGTCATCGTAATAGTTTGTCTCTTCTGCTACACGATCAATGACATGATGGCACTGACTATGCCTGTCTTTGTTCACAATCTCTAGCACATAATAGTTGCTTAATAAGTATTTGCTGAATAACTAAATAAACAAGCAGAGCATGTGAGTATAACACGTTGATTCATGCCTATTATGGAAGAATGTTTGTGTCTTCCCCAAAATTCATATGATGAAGCCTTAACCCTCAATGCGATGATATTTGGAGGCAAGGACTTTGGGAGCTAATTAGGTTTAGATGAAGTCATCAGGGTGGGGCCTCCATGATGGGATTGATTAGTGTCCTTATAAGAAAAGAAAGAGAGACCATAACTTTCTCTCTGTCTACCGCATGAGGACACAGTGAGAAGGAGCTCTCCATCTACAAGCCAGGAAGAAAGCCCTCACCAAGAACTGAATCTGCCGGCATCAGGATCTTTGGGATTCCAGCCTCCAGAACTGTGAGAAATAAATGTTTGTTGTTTAAGCCACCCAGTCCGTGGCATTTCATTATAGCATCCCGGTTTGGCTGACAGTGCCCCAAGCATAGGAAACATCTGGCTTTGTCACTTACTTTTTAAGTGACCAAGAGCTGATCAACTAACTCTAAGCTTCAGGCTCATAATCTATAAAATAGTAAAAATGATACATTTGCTTGTTGTTGTGAGTATTAAATAAAATAAAGATAAAGTTGCTAAGGCACAGTAATTGGCATATGATAAGTGCTCAATAAATGGTAGCCCTGCAATTTAGAAACATATTTTAACGAGTACTTACAAGCTAGAGCTAAGGCAGGAACCCAACTTTGAAAAACTATCACTCAAAATCAATATTGGGCTAATTAAGAAAAATAAAAACTCTACCTTCTTTCATTAATAGAGCTAACAGAATAGAAAGATACAGGATTTTTTTTTTTTTTGGAAAGGAAGAAAATTTAGGTTCCATGTCTAAAATTGGAGCACCATCCCCAAAAGGAATTATCAGATATATGAAATAACTACAACCCACTAATTTTGGTTAACGTTATATTATAGTACATTGAAAATTTGTGATTTGCAATGTCTTGCATAATTACAGAAACATGAAGACTTCAATTTGAAAACAAACATCAAAATAATGAACAGATAATTATACTCCCAAATTTGAATAATCTATATCTGTGTAATAAAAATGGCATAAAAACACAAACACAGAGAAAAATCCCTAGGTTTTTTCCCTACTTTTAATAAGATGTTTGTTTTAAGAAAAGTATAGTTTTAAGAAACAGATTGCACTCTTATTTGTATCCTATCTCTTCATACTGCTGTCATAATATTTATAAAGAATTATTATAATAGAATGGAATGTTATCAGCAAAAGACTTTAATTATAAGTAAACAGTTTATGAATTTGTAACTGAGCAAAGCAGTCAAGAACAAAAATGAAAATTTCTTATTACAAAACCTTCCCAAATTTATCTTCATAAGCATCTACAGAACATCTCCCAATGCACCCAAGATTCAATGACCTTAGGACAGAGAGACCAGCTTTCTTGCTTCCTAACTAAAACTGATAGCTCTTAAACCTGCCACTGCCTATTAATAAAGTTATATGTGGAACTGGTCAATTTCCAAAGATGAATTTGAGAAACTAGATATAAATATTCCTTCCAAGTAGAGAGTCTTTTAAATTGTCCCTTAAAATAAAATTTGCATTTATTTAGATATCTTAAAAACCTTAAAGAGAGCATTTCAGTGGCAAGATATAATCACAGAATTTATAATTTATCATCCTAATTTAAATCAACAAAACTCTCATGATTGTTGTATAAAAATTTTCAGACAACAAACATCCTGCAAAAATCTGTATAAGTTGCATTCCAAAAAAAAGTTGAAACTTTTATTTTTCTTGGCCAATTTAGCACTTTTATCCCCTCCTGTTCTAAGAGATAAAATAACTTAGGGTATCATGTTGCATAATAGGCTATTTAAAACTAATATCTTGATTACCAGCATAAAAATATTTTCAACATGGGTCATTTTTCTTACCTTTATTGGTAGATATCAACATAAAACTGTAGGGAGTGGCTACAACTAAGAAATAAAATGTATTTTAATTTTTAAAAATGGTTTGGTTGTCAGATCATCTGAAAAAATTCCAAAACACAGACCTATGTATACCAGAGATTGCCAATAAGGAAACATCAGATATGAAAGAGGAGGCAAGCTCATAATTGCCATCATTACTGGATCAAGTTCCCATCCCTAACTATTAAAAATGTTGAAGAATGTTTTAATAGTGGAAGGAAATGGGGATTCTCATAAGGTCTTGTGATATATTAAAATTATAACTGTGCAAACCTGTTGAGACTATTCACCAACTTCTAGAACTTTATCCTAAGAAGAAAAGCCACATGGTGCTCAAAGATGTATGTTCAAGGACTTGCACTATAGTATTTTATATTTTATATATTTATATATTAAACAACTGGAAACCATCTAAATGACCGTCAATAGGCAACTGGCTAACACAGGCAGATAAATATAATAAAGTCTATTTAGCAATTACAATGATTATGTAGACCTATTTATTGAGATGAAAAGGTGTGTTGAGTGAAATAGAGGCTTCTAGAAGAGTACTCTATAACATGGTTTATATGAAACAGTGTATGTCTGTGTGCCGAAAAATGTTGACCAATATTTTAGGGATGATTATATCTGGAGTGGGTGATTTAAGATGATTTTTAATTACTTTACACTTTGTAAGAGGTTTATTATTAATATTATTTACAATTAGCATCTAACCTTTCTATACTATGAAGAAACAATAACTCTATTTTCAGTTTGGAAAAAGAAGATCTTCCCTAATTGATGACAGTTCCATAATATAAGTAGCGGCTGGCCGGCATCAACCAAGGCTGGGGAAAATGAACCCCAAAATCTCAAACCCACTGTGTTCACTGCCTCTTTACAAGGCAGATGCTGGGGGCAACCACTATGCCAGAAGACTCCCCTCTCATCAAGTGGCTTTCAGAAAGAAGTTATAGGAATGGTGATCCCAGAGCATTCTGCATCTAGACATATCATTCTAGTCTTCTTTCATTGCTGGATTTTGAGCTGGCCTAGTAAAGTGTCTTACTAATTTCTTCCTGTCTTCAAAGGCTAGCATAGACATGAAGTAAGTCACTAATTTGTAGAATGGGACTAAAATAAGTTGCCATGCTTTGTTTGCTTCTGAACTATAAAAAAGGCCCTCATCAAAAAGTGCCCATAGGGATGTGCCTCATATACTGTAAGCACTGCTCTCAGCAAAAGGACCCTCTCACTGAATTCAGACAATTGTCCTAGCATCCGAATTTAGTTTTACAAATGTGACGTTTCTTGGTTTGCTTTTCTATCAGCAGTGTAAGAAATTAATTCTATTATGATGTACCAAGATTGAAATTTATTTTATATTAGTATTTATGTTCAAAGACAATGCCCACATAGTCACCTAATACCACCTAATGTTAGTGTAGAAAAATCTCAAAATGATTGCAGCCTTTTTAGTGTCCTATCAGTAAAATGGTTAGTTTTTAATCAGAACACCAGAGAGGGAGCAGAGGTACTGTCGTGATCTCCTGAGATAAAATCCTTTGCTAAGCACAGACCACTCATGCTTCTTTATGTCCAAATACAAATACACACAAACAAAAATCCAGCACAATCTCTTTTTGATATGACACACACATTAGTACAAAAGAAAAAATTGGATGAAATATTTCCTCAAGATTCATAGAACCGACATGAAGTAACTTGACTCTAGCTATCAGTTCATTTCCTCCTTGAGGCAACGTGAGCAAACACCACACTTAGCAACAGTTAAACCAACCAACAGAATTGCTGATCATTGGTTAGTAATAGTGACAATATCTACGGCAATATTCCTTTTTACTGTGCATTTGATGATTTATTGGCTCAAACTAAGCAAACCCATAACTCGGGTCGTTTCCTTTACCTTGGCCAGATGAGAGTTGATCCATTTTGTGAAAGTGCGTTTTTGAACTATCTCTTGCTCATCTAGAAGAAAAAAAAAATACCTAGTTAGTTACACAAATCTAGAAGGAATCATAAAATTATTTTATCTTCTAATTCAGTTTACCAAGAATTGTCTTGAAGGAAGAGTCAATACAATTCCAACTGCATAATCAATTAGACTATTCCTTTAAAATTCTCAGCAAATGCTTTAGAATTTGCATTGTGTTAGCCCTATGTTTGCCTTAATTCACTTATTAAAAGTTTACTGGTAAATTGTAACTCCACAAAGCTATTACAAATAAAAATTCACTGAAACTAAGGGCCAAGTTTTATGCCAGATGCAAAAGGATATAGAGAGATGAACAGGGCACGGTCTCCGCCATGAAAGATCAAGAGGTGGAGACAGACATGCAAGGGCGTATGAATAGTAGAGGGTTACACAGTAAAGTGGTAATAAGACAGAGCTGTGTCCATGAGCACTATAGGAACGCGGTCCAGTTGGGGAGAGTGATGAGTTCACCCTAGGGTGACCTCCCCCAAATTCCCACCTCGTGGAGTACTCATTTCTGTGTAGGCAGAACCCGTGCCTTGCGTCTAGCCAATAGGACATGACAAAAGTGATAAGATGTCCCACCCATGATCGTGTTACTTTATGTTACTCCATCTTAGCTGGTTGGAGTGAGGATTCTCCTGCTGGCCGTGAAGACCCAAGCAGGCAAGCTCTGTGCTTCCCACCGAGAGGGCCAGTGTCAGGGCTCTATGGGCTCTTTCGGGAGTAGAGGGTAGCCTCCCACCAACAGCCAGTAAGAAGCTGGGCCCTTAGTCAAACAGCCAGGAAATGAATTGTGCTAACACCATGTACAAGTCTCAAAGTGGATTCTTCCCTAAGTTGAGCCTCTGGATGAGAATGCAGCCCAGCTGACCCCTTAGATACAGCCTCGTGAGACCCTGAGCAGATGATGTGGCTAAGCTGTGCATGCACTCCTGAAACACAAAAATCTGGAGAAAACGAATGCATATTGTTTTAAACTGCAACGTTTGTGGTAATTTACTATGTAACAAGAGAAAACTAATATAGGGAGAAAAAGAGGTATGTTCAGGAAGGCTTTAATTAGAGGTATAAAGAGATGAGGGGGTATAGTTTAATAATACCTCTAAAGGAAAAAGTGAATTCCATTTGCTTGGCCAACACCCACTGCGTGTCAGCTGTGCATAAAACACTATACCAGATGTTGTGGGGGACATGTAAAAAAGATATAATTTCAGTTCCTAACCCTTTGAGGGAGGATGCCCAAATCTACATCTCTAGCCCTGACCTTTCCTGGGTTTCAGCTCAGAACATTTGAGTATCCACTAGAATGCAAAGCCATGAGGACAGCAACTTGGTTCCCAGACCCTAAAGGTGTGACCAATAAGAATGACCTGAATGAAGAAAATAAATAACAAAACCTTTCAATTTGGAGGAACTTCAGATACATCATCCATAAAATTAAGAGTATGTCATTAGCTCTAATGTATTTTTTTTTTTATTTCGGCATATTATGGGGGTACAGATTTTAAAGTTTCAATAAATGCCCTTCCCCCCTCCCCCCAGCTCTAATGTATTTTAAACATGCTCTTTTGTTTTAACTTTCTAGTTCACAAACACAAACCAGTATAACAGTAGGTGATACTGTCTATGTACCAGGCACTAATGTATAAATTGATAGATAGATCATATTATACAATTATTTTAATTAAGTACTATTTATTTAATTATGTCTCATATATTATATATGTATTAACTCATTTAATTCTTGTCACAAACATATAAGCAGCAATTACTACAATGCCCATTTTACATATAAGATAATCAAGGCACACAGAAGTTAGATATTTTTACTCAAGGCAGAGCCATGTTTTAGACACCAGAAATCTGGTTCCCATGTCATTGGGGTGCATAAAAATTACTACATTAGTCACATAAAATATTAACCTCAAGAAAATGATAAATTCATAGTTCAATAAGTTTGATTTTTGAATATTTGGGTTCTGTAAATAAAGCCTTGTAGTAGCAAAATGATCTTCACCAATCAAGCTAGGTTTGATGGAATTTGAAACTTTATAATACATAAAATCCAAGTCTAAATCTAAAATAGTTACCATTAGAGTATGTATCAATTTTTTACACTCAATTTGAGATTACACATTCTTACAAATATCACAAAATGTCACTATTTAAAAATGTTACAATTAGCATGTTTACCTATAGTATCATAAATTTAAGTATATAATCTCCTGATAATATGTTACTTCCTAATATTAAATTGTTATATTTTCACTAGTATCACCTCTAATAAAACAATACTGTTATTGTAACAGTTTCATCTGATGATAAGTTTCTGAGTTTATATTTAGATTTTTGCTAAAAGGCCTTTTATAGAAAGCTCATATTATGTTTTTAGTAGCATTGGATACATTTTAATGTCAAATTCTCTACATGTTTCCCTTTATATTATGGCTGCAAAATAGATTTTACCAAGTCCTAAAAATCTACTTTTAATATTGTCAGACACAGACAGCTGAATTCTAACTAAATATTTTTCTACTTTTACTATTTTCCTAAAATTTCATCATGTCAGCAAAAGCTTATTTTTCTGTAAAATTTGAATAATACACTCCCAATACTTGGTAGTTGAATCTGATACCAACAGAATAAAATGTTTAATTTGTGGAAGGAATAGAAACATACAGTGAAAGACTACTAACTTGGGTTAAAAACATAATGAACAATAAAATTTCTTTATAATGTTTCTGAAAAAGAACTGAAATAACTCTCATGTTTACAAAGTTTTCTTTATGTACAATCATGTACTGCATAACAACATTTCGGTCATTGACAGATCTCATATATGACAATGGTCTCATAAGATTATAATGGAACTGAAAAATTCCTATTGCCTAATGACATCACGGTCATCCTAATGTTGTAATGCAATGTATTACTTTAGCTATGTTGAGGTATGTTCAGATACACAAATATGTAACTACTGTATTACAATTGCCTACAGTATTCAGTACAGTGACATGCTGTGCAGGTTAGTAGCTTAGGAGCAATAGGCTATAGCAGACAGCCTAGGTATGTAGTAAGCTGTACCATCTAGGTTTGTGTAAGTACACTCTACGGTGTTTGTACAACATAAAATCCCTAATGACTAATTTCTCACAATGCATCCCCATTATTAAGTAACATGACTGTATATTTCATTGTATTTAAGAGAACATTTAAATACATTTAATAAATAACAATCTTATTAATGATGTTTCTGTCTTGAGCCTTTCAGAACAATGTTGAGAACACAGAACAATGTAGTCTTACCAAGTGTTCAGACATATGCATGCTAATATTTCTACTAAAATCAATAATTTACCCATTTTGCTGAACATGCATGTTAGCTTTGAACACAGTAAAGTTTATCTATATATCACAAATAAACCCATTCCTCTAGTTCTAAGAATCACAGAGAACAAGGAGTTGATCTGTTACCAGTTCTATTCCCTGATTTCTATTAATTCAGCCTAAGATCCACTCAGTGCATAAGCCAGTCAGTCACCTAGTGGTCATCATTGTTTCTTTGCTCTTACTCATTCTCCATAATAAATCCAAAAGGAATTTCTGTGAATTTCACTTCCTGAATATCTCATATCTACCAATATCAGTCTAGTTCAAGCCACCATCATCCTCTGGAGACCTGTTCATTACCACTTCTAGAACCAAAGTTCTAGATTAGATGAGAGGGACCATATCTGACTGTTCACCCCAGTCTTACCCATCACCACACAACAGATGCTTAACAAATGAATGGATGGACTTACTAAGGAAGTGCTGCAGACAAAGGTATAGCCTCTGCTCTGGAGTAACTGGTAGTACAACGGAAGAGACAGCATACAATCAATAACTCAGAGTAATGTGTCAATGACTATAATGGGGGATCATATAAAGTGCTAAGAGAACATAAAGTCAGGAGCAAGTAGCTGTTCTTTTGCATAATGAAATAGACTGGAAGTTCTAGAAAAACTAAAGACAAGAGGTACCAGTAAGTTGCACATCAGATAATAAAAGGAAATTTGCAGGTGGAAAAAGTAGATGACTTTCTAGGGAAAAGAGGCAGCATTTAAAAAGCGTGGCATAATATATTGAATCGACAGTGAAAATCTGTTACAGTTAGACTATAAAGTGAGGAAGGGTTAAGAAGAGACTGGAAGTGAGCCTGGAGCAGGTTATTAAAGCCTTACTCTGCCAAGGAATTTGGTCTCTATCTGATGGGCAATAGGAGCCTCAATGGTTTAAACACGACAAATTCACGATCACATCAGACCTGAAACACTGACAGGAGTGGAGAGGTTTAACTGGAGGGAAAAGAACCTGAGAACAGGAAGGGTATTTGGGAACATGCTACAAGTGATGAATTCTGTTCTAGGGCAGTGCCAACGGGAATGGAATGCATAAAATGGCTGAAAGGTAAATATCAGAAGTAAAATCAAAAAGAAGAAGAGAGATACGAGGTAAGGGTGCTTTTGAGATTTCTGCTTGAGAGGGAAGATTTTGAGAATTCAGACCCACTGCAAATGCATCGTAAAAGGGATGGTATGGCTTCACAGGGCAGAGGAGAAGTGGGGCTTGAGAAGCCACATTACAAAGCAGGAGTTGCATAGATAGGAAGCCGTAACAGGCTCTGACTTAAGACGAGTTTTTGATTCAGGTATTACTGGGTGGAGGTAGTTCAAATTCCCTTCTCTTTTTTTCCAAGCTGGCTGACTAGAGATGTCAGATGCCAATGCTCCTCAGAAAGAGGAACCGAAGTTACAGGTGAATAATCTGCTCGAGTGGAGCATTAAGGGGACAGTGCTGACGCCTGTTGAAGAGCTCATAGGAAGAAACTAGGACACAGAAAAAGAAGGAAGCAAGAGGCTGGCAGCAATCAAATTCTGAGGGATTTGGTATTCCATGGAGAGGGTACGTGGGAGTGTTTCAGATCCCTTTGCCCTTGCAGCAGACTGCT